CAAGACAGAGCAAATGAAAACAACAGAAGGAAAAAAAACGACAAAAAAAAGAAAAACCTGTAAATAGTTTCAGGTCTGTTTGTTGACTTTTAGGAGTGTTTTCCGGTTGATCTGATGGGGTGCCACACCCTGGCCCCAAAGTCTGTTTTTTAGTATTCCCTGGGAACTTCATTGCTTTGTTCCCCTTGATGTTCAGTTATATGTGATTAGCGTTACATCCTGGTGTGGTGAGGTCAGATCGGGCACAATTCCTGCACTGGTGCCTCCAGTATTGTCCCTCGTAGCGCTATGGGTCAGTGAGGGAAGTCGTCTCGGGGTGGAGCTGGCCCTATGGTCCTCTCTGTGCATTGGCTGCTCTGAGCAGGTATATGGTCCTCAGGGATTGGTGGGCCAGGATGTGTACCACCCCCTCTTCTTCCCTCTTCCTTTGCTCCTGTGTGCTCTGATCAGATGCACCCCTCTCCCTGAGCTGCAGCTTCAGTGCTGTCCTATGAAGTGAATTCTTCTCTAGGGAGGGAGTGGGTGTCAACGTAGTTGGGATTAGAGCTGGCCCGAAGACCTCTCAGTGGTTTCCAGTATGTTGCATTCACTTCTTGGCACACCAAGTTGAAGTCTGGTCCCTCTCCCCCTCTCCTGTGGAGATAGAAACAGCACCCTCCTCCCCTTGGGTGGGTTAGTGCCTTGTTTTCCCACTACCGTTTGTTTTTTTCTCTCTCTTTTCCCCTCCTGTTTAGTTGGGTGCCATATGTATCTCTGGATTGGGTCTGGCCCCTGCCATACTACCTGGACGTCACCCCAGGAATGTTTGCATACAGTAGCCTTTTCTCTATCCCTGTTTGCATTTTTAAGCTTACCTCAGTGGACTCATGTCCTTTGTGCTTGTCCTTTGTGCTTGGCTTACTTCACTCAGCCTAATTTCCTGTACTTCTTCCAATGCTGTGTTGCCCTTCATGAGTTCATCACTGCTTTTTAGAGATGCATAGTACTCCATTGTATGTATGTTCCAGAGTTTTTTAATCCATTCCTCCATTGATGGAAATTTGAGTTGTTTCCAACTCCTTGCA